TGACAGCATGTAAGTGTAAATATCCTCTGATTCATCCGTTTAATTTTGTTTGAAATAGCAGCGTGTTGTAATTTATTGGGGATAGCAAAAGACCAGGGAAAGAAAGATACAGGCATCCCATACCAGAGAATCTCTTTACTTTTTATTCTCTACCATTTTCAAAGTACAGTGTTTAAAGCTTATTGCTGCAATCCAGCTTTATGAAGTCTTGGCAGCTACAAGCTGAGTCCTGGAATTAAGGAGAGAGTTAAAAATGGGGTTCTAAATTGTTGGGGCCATACATTAAAGCACAGACAGAGTGTTGAAATAGGAAAGGTGATGAACTGGCAAACTGATGGAAGGCCACTAACCAGAAATGCACATTAGAGTCAGGTCAAAGTCTTCTTAATTGAAAACACAGTGCAAAAATTAAAACAACAACAACAACCAAAACAAAAAAACCCAAAAACCAAACAAAACCAAAACAAAATTAAATCAAAAACAAACAAACAAACCAAAAGCAGAAATCCTACTGGAGGAAGACAGGGGCAATTTGTGGAAAATGGAAAACATTCTTCTTGAAGGTGGTAAAGAAGGATGGGGGGGGGAAAAGATGCAGAATAGGATTTAAGTAAAGAGATGTATAACGAGCACAGGCTGTTCTTCCTTATGCCACCATCACCCCCAAATCAAAAATGAAAGACTTCTTCCAACTGTACACTAAAGCAAATTAAGCAAAACTTCAGCTACTTCATTGATATCAGTTTGCTGCTCCTGCACAGATGAAAGAAGGTGACAAATTGCCCTTTACAAAAGCTACAAAACCTGTAAGAATATGTAGAACATATCCTGCAGTACCCACAATGCTCTCTCATACAAAGCCACCATCTTCAACCCAAAAAAGACCTGGTATGAAATATTACCATTCAATTAAAAAATCATTATTTGGTCCCTTAAGTAGGCCCTGAAGTAGAAGGCTGTGGTGAAAATTTATCAAGCATTTTTCTCCAAATGGAATGTACGCTCCAGTACCCTACGAGCTCTATAGTACATGAAATTTTAAAAGAATTGTTAATGTCTTTCTAGGTTTTATAATACCACAAAGAGATACTCATCATGTGCTTTTACCACAGCAGATAACTGCTAATGCCTCTAGTACACAACACTTTCACAGTGGTTTGAATACAAGTCATCTTCCATTCTCTTGGTGAGCAAATTAACGGGATCAATAAATTTTTCAGTATCTCCAGATAAAGACTCTTTACCTTCACAAGCCTGATCAGTAAATGCCTGATATACAGAAGGGATCACAAACAACTTGTTATGTGGATTCCCTGAAAGGTTAGTCCGCTCTGAGAAACAGAAAATGTCAAAGGCCTGGGAGTTTTCAGATGTGAACCCACGCCCTGATGTGGGAAAGGTTTGTGGAAGATCCTAAAGGTCAGATGTGAGGGTCACCCTTATCAACAAGGTCATATGTTAAGTTAAACTGAAACCAAGAGGAGTTTACTCCCTGGAACCACAGCACTCTGATTACAGTAAATGTATTTTTAAAGGGCAAGGAGCTTTAAAAGTGATGCTTAAAAGTGTATTTACCAGAATAAAGAAATAGGTACCTTCAAGAAGTTGTTTTTGGGTAATGTGCATAAGAATTTCCAGTGACATGAAAGTTAAAGATACTTCCAAATGAAAAAAAATCTATTTGTAGCTATTCATCTTTGGTTCCCTCTGATTGGAAACAGTAATGATTTCAGTAAAGATTGAAAAAAAAACCCAAAACCAACAAAACAAATATAGGTTTTCTGCATATTTTAAACTGGTAAACTTTGTATTTACTTTTGTCACAGTCAGAAAATTTTTCTAATTTTATCTTGTGACATTTTGCTTTGGTTAAAAGAAATGATAATTCAGAGCCTTGTTATCTTTTAGAAGAGATACATGAAAAAAAGGCTATTATCTCTCTTTACAAGGGGAACGTGCAGGCACTAAAATACATCCTTGCCTTTGAGCTAAACAAACCTTGAGCAGACAGACATGAGCTTAGAGTAGCTTGAGAACACAAGAGGAAATTCCACCAGAATTACTTCAGTCCTGTCAGGTTTTTGGTTTTGTTTTCATTTCAAGAGGAGGTTTTGAGCATGTACAACCTCCCCTCACCCTCCTCCTACCTGGGTTATCTGACAAGTTTGAGCTCCTTTATCTGCAGGGCAGCTCAGTGCCCTGCTTCCCATCCTTCCCTGTCAGCCGTGGCAGGCTCTGATGCTCCTCCTGGAGGCACACACTGTCCAGGGAGGCCTTCCCTTGGGAGAATGGGATGCACTTCCAGCAGCTGAGGCTGTTCCCCTGTGGGCAGCACTGTGTAAACACAGCCTGAGCCGAGTTGGTGCAGGTGTGGTGCTGTGGTGGCAGGGATGGTGCCTCACCACTGCTGCTGACACCACGGGATGTGTGGGAAGGAATCTCCCACCACCCAGGACCATTCCAGCTGCAGTTTCCTCAGGGGCTGAGTATCACCTTCCTGGTAGGTGGATCTACTCTGTCCTGATTAATTTAAGGAAAGCTGAGCTGATTCAGAGTGCTCAAGTCCAACACCACCGAACACTTTAAAACAAGCAAAGCCCCCAGCTCTCATTGGAACACCATTCCCATTCCCCCTCACCCAGGGACACTGGTAAGATTTCAGGGTGGCAGAAAGCAAAGCACTTCCCTGGCACACACCACCATGGAGCAGCTCCTGGGCTGGGTGAAGTGCTTTGCCTTGACTCCTTCTGAAGCTACACCCTTCCAAGAGACTCCAAGAAGGACAGGGCAGGAGAGAAACCCAAAGGAATGGAGTGGTGCCTGTCTGGGTTCTATGCTGGTGCAGCGAGCTCCTCATGCCCTTTGCACAGACACAGGGATGAAGGACACTCTCCTGCTTTCTGTGATGTTATCACACTGCTAATGATAACAAAAACACCTTCCTTTTTAAAAAAGGCAGGGTTAGACAAATGGTCAGGAAAATAAGCTCATATTCTCCCTAAGGACAGGTTTCAGCATTATTATGCAAATAGAAATTGTCTTATGCTGTGGATTCACCTGAGGGAATTGGCCCCAGAATCTGAAATCCAAAGGGTTCCTCAAGGTGAGCACAAGCTTCAAGTTCTGTCCTAAGGTTTGGTGCAGTTTTGGAGGTCAGACTGTGCTTCTCCAACTCCAGCCAAGACCCTCTCAGGGATTCTATGGTACCTTTCTTTAAAAAATCCCATAGTCTTTTATGGAACTAGACACTTTCCACCAGTAACTCACAAGAAACACTTTTGCCTTGCAAGAAACATATCAATAGAAGATAACTTACTGATTTATTTTGTAAACGTTGTGTTTTAACTAACATGGAAGCCTGATACTGGGAATTGATGGTTTCTCTCTTAATGAATGTTGAGCCATATATAGGCCAGTGTTATGAGGCTCCCATCACAACAAAAGGCCCCTTTTATTAATGGCTACTTTATCATTTAAAACATGCATGTTGTTACTTAAAATGGCAAATTGCTTTGCACTGTCCTTGAAGTGCATTGCATAAATATTGTATTCAAGTCTTAGCTTGCACTTCATAAATAATTTATTTTTAAAATACCCTTCCACGAGACCACCAGCTGGCAAGATGTTCAATTTTCTGGTAAAAACATGTATTTATTGCAAGTCTTATTTTAACTTGTTGAAGATTTGCTAAAAGCCACAAGTGACAGATGTTGTAAGAACTGTATTCAACCCAAAACCTCAGGAAGCTGAAAGCCTCATTCTCCTGGTAGGTTTTGTACCTCTGCATAAGCATTTTCCTTTGCAGGGGAAAAGCTGAAATCTATTCAAGGAAGCTTTCAAGTACCATTTCTGATAACCCAGAAATGACTGATAACAGATTATGTGATGATCAGAAAAGTTTATAGATTTCATTACATTTCTTTTCACTACAATCCTTCCTCCACCATTTCCATTTCATGTTGCTGCATTTAAACTGCTGCACAAACTTGTTCAAAGTGCTCAACATTAAAAAAAAAAATCAAAGGAAATTTCAGATAATTAACTTTGATGAATGAGCATATTTTAATTCATGTCTGGTAATATTCTTGTTAATGACATGTCTGCTTAGGACATCCATTAAAAGTCCATTAAGTTAACAGGGAAAGTCTAATAAAGTTATCCTGGAAATTTTCTGGTATATTAATGTTATGGACTTTTAATGAATATCTGCTGTAGGAACTGCTATTAGCAAGGCTACTATTCTAATTAAACTTGGGCTCTGAGAGTGAAAAAAAAGTATAAAGATAACAACAAGCATAAGCAGCACTTTTTTTTAAAATGACTATAAAGGAGATGGGTACAGGTCACAAATCACACCATCAGTAATGACTAAAATATTACTATATTGTAGCTTTTTTTGTAGCCTGCCATCCAATATACCCCATATCAACTGTGTCCTTCATGTCATCAGCTGCTGGGGCTCCTTTTTACTCCTCTATTGTTGAGACTGAGCAGTACAGAAAGGCCTTCCAGGGTAGGAGATAAAAAATTTAAACACAGTTTCTCACAACAATGCAAAATAAAAAATGCACTTAGGAAATCTGTTCCCTATGGGCATCTCAGCAACCCATTTGAAGCTGCTGACATTCATGATAATATAGCAAAATATCTTTTTATATGTATATATCTTTTATTCATAGAATCAGAGTATGGGTTGGGTTGGGAGGGACCTTAAAGCTCATCTCATTCCACTCCCCTGCCATGGGCAGGGACATGTTCCACTAGACCAGGTTGCTCAAAGATTCATCTCTCTATATATATATTTATATCTTTTTTATATATATACATAAACATTTTTATTAATATTAATAAATGTGCATGTTTATTAATAATACTATCTATGTTTATTAATATAAATATGTTTGCATATTAATTAATATTGATATATTTATTAATATGACTCTATATGTATATTTATTAATATGAATATGTATGTACATTAAAACCCAACCCTGATATACCTATTTTTTCATACTTATCCTTCACCAAATCTTCCAAACCAATCATTTTCCAGAAACTGTCATCCCAACCTCTATCTGACGTGTATGTCCACTTGCACACTACTGTACAGAGAGACCTAAAAAAGAGACAATATAGGCACAGAGTTAGGCAAATGAACACGTTTGGGTTCAAACTTGTGACTAGAAACAAGTTCCTGCAAAAGGATCTCTTCTCCACTGGTCAAAAACTCCAGCAGAATGCTCACATTAAAAGAAAAAAAAAAAACTGGTTACTGTTTGGAGTGCATGTCTTGAGGACCGTAAAAGGACCTTGTGTTTAAGATTCTTCTCTGCTGAAACAACTCCTGGTCTGGCCACTTCACTGCATAAATCAGTCAAATAACAGGCTGTGCATGTGCCTGGGGGAGAGCAGGGCAGGAGCACAGCAGCTCTGGAGCTCAGTGCTGCTCCTCCAGCCTGAATGGCTGCTCTGCACACAGCCTGTCCTCAGGAAAACTCTGTGTTCCTTCTCTCACAGCTGAACTGCAGTTCCCAGGAGATCTGGATGATGGGGACAGATGCACAACTCTGATTTCTGAGAAGCTGATGTTAAACTCTGCTGAGCCAGGACAGCACCAAGGGGCACAGGCAGGAGCAGAAGGACACAGAGGACAAGAACACTCACAGCAAAGTCTGTGCTAACAGACAATGGTTTTTACCAATATCCCTGACCTTATTCCTCCCCAAAGTATGAACAATATTACTGATGATTTAGTATCACATGGGCTGTTTTCTGTCTGAACACTAAGAATCATCTCCAACAATCAATATTAAACTGTGCTTGAAAAGTCAGTCAAGTAAAAGGTATTAAAGATGCTAAATACCACTGAAAACTGCAGCTCTGTGCAGTCCTGGGAATACCACGGTACCAGCAAGTGCAAGACAGCTCAGATGCATCTTGGGGAAGCACATCATAACTGTTCTCAAAGAGAAACCCTGCTCAGAGGTGGATTTTCTTTGATGTTTTACAAGACAGCTTATTTGTGACTCATGTTTAGCCAAGGTGAGCTTACACAGACATATTCTCTTTATTAGGATGGTACAATTTGAACGTGTATCTTCAAAGCAAACTCAGTTTTACTGAAGTATTTGACTTTTTCTTGCAGTTTTGCCCAAGTAAAAACCAAATAAAATTTCTCTCTTCAAAATTATTTTTTGGAGTAAAAGGAAATCTTCCCTTTCATCCAAGAATATTACACAGGGACTGAAATATGAATCACAGAATGGGTTGGGCTGGAACGGACCTTAAAATTCATCTTGTTCCAACCCCCTACCATGGGCAGGGACACCTTGCACTATCTTAGGTTGCTCCAAGCCCTATGCAACCTGGCCTTAAGCAGAAAAAGAAAATTTATTTTTATTAAATCAAAGTTAGAGTTTATAGCCACTGATACTGCAGACAGAGAAAAGGCAAAGAAAAGCAGCAAGAGTCTTTCCACACAGCTGGAAAACTATCTGGGATATGTATTTCATGTTTTGGGGGGTTACAACAAGAAGCAACATCCTCTTATGTGACACTGAGCAGAAGATGGGATGGTTAGATGGACTCTCTAAACTCCCACTTTCTCCTCTGGGACAGAAATGTGTCTTTTAAATGCCTTATATTTCCTTCCATCCTGTTGTACTGGAGTTTTTACAACCAGAACACAAGTGATGGTCATTCACATCCCACTGGTTGTAAAGGTGTGTTGGTTGCTCTTTGCTGCAAGAGAACAATTAACAGGACACTTGTAATTCCCATTTGCAGGGAAAAAGACATTAGTTAACTATTTATATCCCTATAAATAAATGCAGTCAAAAAATGCAGAGATTATTTCAGGACTACTCATAAAACATTTCTGATACCCCCATCCCCCTTTTTTTTCTTCTTAATAGTTTAAGAATAGACCACACAATCTCAACTCAGTGTCTGGTTTGAAAACAGAAAAAGCACATGACCTGTAACTACAGCAATGGCAATGTTGATATAAGGAATTCCAATTTCCAAGGATTTAAAAGCCAGACACAAAAACCTAATTAAGACCTTTGACAACAACTGGGTGAATAAATAAATTCTAGGCTGAAGAAAATACTGGGAAAAAATAAACATTTTCCCCGAATTGGTTCAAACCTCTCATTAAAAGGAAAAATAAAGACAGGGTATTTGAAATAAAAAGCACTTCATCAGTTCAGGAAAAATTTAGACATAAAGAGCAAAAAACAATGCATCAAGTTTTCCCAAATATGGGAAATACCAAATCACAACAAATTATCATCAAAACCAAATATGTCTTTTTCTAATTAGATTGAAGCTCTGAACTAATGCCACACCCTGAGAGAGGCTCCAAAGAACATGTTTTAAGCAGGGGCCTGCTGTCCCACACAGCTCCCTCTGTGGAACACCACAGCACACACACAGGCCCATGGAATCGCTGGGGATGGGGAGCCATCCCCCCTGCCAATCCACAGAATTCCAGCAGATCCCAGCTCTCTGGCAGGATATGGCTGCACTGAGCACATCCTGGAGATTCATAAATGCAAAGTGCTCACAGAACAAGGATAAACAGAGCAGTTCTGGGTGGATTTTTAGTACAGTGTGGAAAATGAAGTGGGAAAGACAACTCTTCCCAAACTAACTGGCTGGCACATCCTTAAGTGGAAGGTTCTGGTATGAAAACCAATCTCAGATCTGAGCTAAAACACTAATACATTATGTTGGCAGATTTTTATTTTCATGGCCACAGCAAGAAACTCAAAATGCTTGTTTTAAACACAGTCTGAGCATTTACACTTCTCTGGGATTCAATCTCTTTCTTCCACTCTTGCTGCCTCTCAAAAAGTAGGTGTTTAATGGAACAATATGGCTTCATACAAATCCCTAATATCAAAGAAAAAGTGTCATACTGCAGAAAGGTATTCTGCTCTCTTAGATAACAGTTCAAAGGAAAGGATTTTTTTTGTGATGGCCATGATGGATTAACATCACCACATCCTTCAAAGGCACCTGGATGGGCTGAACTCAAAGTCCTGCCCCTCACCTGATGAGGTTCTCAATCTGTATGCCCCAGAGAGCTCTATGCACATGCAGAGAGAACACCTCATTCATGCCTTGTCACTGCTCAAGCCAATGGTATACATGTATATTATATATATGTATTTATATTTTTACATATACATATTAACTTTATAGGAAATCACTCAGAAATTCTCATTCAGAGCATCACCCTGAAAAGAGGATAGCATCACTCCTAACATGGGAAAACTCTGCCCAGAAAGACACTGTGGGAAAGAACCACCTGAGGAGCCAAATCAGTGCACCTACAAATAAAGCCTCAACTATGAGAAAATTTTATATTTCACAGAACTCCTAAGTTTGATGAGATGAAGGGCAGACATTAAACAGAAACAGAACTGATACGTACCATGGTATATTCAATTTTTCCTATTTGGCAGCATCGCCTCAATTATTTGGTCATAAACACCAGACTTGTGCTGGCTGAAGCTGGATGAACCAGATGGGTTGAAGCAAAAGCTCCTCTTAGTTTACTCCCAGGATCAGCTGAGTTAAAAGGGGCAGAGAAGAGGCAATCCCAGAGGGAACAGCCCTCTCCTGACTGCCTGATCCACCACAGGATTTGAGGAGCCATACATGGAACCCCTCAGTAGCACAAGCCATATGTAGCCAGTCTGAAATACCATGAGTTTTGGAGACACTTTTCCTCAAGCATATTCTCAGCACAATGAAATGAAGGACTTCCTTTCTCTGTTCAGAACAAAAAGTTTTGCTTAGAATATTCCTACTGAAAAAAAAAAAAATCCGTTGTGCATGGAAAATTTTTATTTTATTTAAACCAGATTTTCAACAGGAAAATGATTATGTTTAGAGTTTCCTAGGAGTTTCTTGCTGAGGACTGACTGGATGTGCTGAAGTCCTGCATAACCAGAATCTCAGCAGTCTTAAAAACACAGAGAGGCTGTGAACACACACTTGTAATTCCCAAAATGTTGTGATCACTCAAGTGATCAAAATTTGTTTCTGTCTGACTCTTGCCACATTATCTGCCCATTAGGAGTATTTTCTTTCACTCTGTTGTATTTCTTGGAGAGAAGGAAATCAGATACATTCATTGAAAATGGGAATTACTGCATGCTCTAAGTTATCAGCATAAAAATGTATCTAAAACATAAAAGTCACAAAAAACTTTTCCACAACTACTTAGGAGTCACCAGAGCTTCAGACTTTGGTCCTTTCTTTGTTGACACATATCCCCACTCCAAAAGGGATAAAGCCAGCACAGATAGGATTCCCAAATCTGCAGAGATCCTGCCCTGCCTGGGACAGCACCTGCTATGAAAATAATCCTGGGGGCTACTCCTTAACTGCAGTTGTCTTGTGGAAGTCATCCCTATTTTAAGTATAGGTTGATAGGTAACTCCTATCAACTAAAAGTTACTAAAAAACCTTTTTTTTTTTTCCTGAAAAGTGAGCCCATAAGGCATTTCTACATGACCTTCCATTCCACAGGGCTGGTACAAGATTAGTTAGCTTGGAAAACGAGTCAGCCACCAGCCTGAAAGGCAGAGAACCCCTGGCTGGGGCATCCTGAGGTGAATGGAAGCCTTGTTGTTAATTCCAAAGCAAAAGGATCTGCTCTATTCATCCCAAGTACTCAGAAATTAACTGAAACTCATGAACTTTATTAATTTTGTAGGCATCATTAACAGCGCAGCAGTTCAATCACTGGATCACTGAACTAAAGCCAGCTGCACCTGCTGAGGGCTGTGCCAAAGCTAAATCCTACAGAAGCAAGCGTAGGGTACAGCTAGATCCCAAAAGGAACAGCATGCAGTAGGATAAAGTAACTCTCTGTGGTCTGTTGGGCAGATTTATTTAAAGCTACAAAGAATCAAAAGCTAAGAAAGTTTTATGACGTTGTGAACGCAAGAAGGAGACCTGAAACAATGGAGTGTGACTGTCACAACAACAAATTATTTTTCTTTTGTTCTACAAAGTTTAAATTCAAAACAGATTTTGAATTCAAACTGTAAACCAGGGAGTAGATTCTGCTCAAATGAACGTCTCCACATATTGACATCT